TGGGGCTCTTTTACCTTTCCTCCAAGGTGAAAAGTATACCCTGTTTGAGATGAGATGCAGTCTTTCACAGTTGTTGCTTATGGAGCCCCTGCCATCGGGTGTCACACTTCATGGGCTTTCTCTTTGGGTGTTTTCTGAAAGGAGCTCATCTAGGTTTAATGTTTGCACCTGCCCCTCTATCCTCTCAATGTTGGATTCTAGTTATTCTTTTGTGCACAGGAGAGGTATTGTCTCAGAAGCTAACATTTTCCTTACCTGAAAAATGATTTCATATGATAATCAACTCCTCACATTTTCCCACCCATCCTCTGCATTTGTGGTGCACTTTCTTCTTGCCTCGTCTAAGAATGAAGTTACTTTGAGCAAAAGTGCTTAGGGGAAGCAACTGCATAAGGAGATTATGTTGCTCTCCTATTGGAGGAGAGCTATCATTGTTTGATTTTCTCATCATACACTAGCAGAGTTCATATTAAACATGTGCTTTTTAGGTAAGAATTAGCTCAAGGCTAGTGGTATGCAAATCTTATAAGCAGACGCACAAAAGGTCAAGCTATTCTGTGTGAGAGGTCAGTATCTATCAGAAGTACATTTGCAGGTAAGAAAAATGTTAACTTTCCTTTGTCAAAGATTAACAGTATTTTCTTAATATCTAGGTTATAAGCTCAAGGTTTTTTATTTATTTCTCTAATATTAAATTACTGTTCAATGAGGTACAACCTTAGATTATGAATTTACAATTCAGATTCTGTTCTGATCTAAAATTTTGAACATTTGATAATTCATGTTTCAGAAAGACAACAAAATTTCAGGTAAATGCTTTTATATTTTACCCAACTATTCAGCCTGTGCCCTTTTCAAGGATCTTTGAAGGTCGCAGGCTACAAAACTGATTTTAAGTGATAGTAACTGAAAAGAAAATAAAGACTTCAAAAATGTAATAGAACTATGCACAGTGAAGTGTGCTAAAAGTATTGTTAAAGAGTCACTGATCACATTTTAAAATCCCTTTCAACCTAAATAGCACTAATGATTTTCTCAACTTTTACACAAAGGTGGTTTACAGATTAGTTCAAACACTATCCTGTTTACTCTCAATGTTGTCTCTATGTGCCCTTCCATTCTCATAGTAGAAAGTAAAGGCTCTGTAATGAATCTTATTGGATCCTGCCCCCTTTTTACTACCAATGATACTCTTGGAGAACTCATGGAGAATTCTCTTTTCTCTATACTATGGTTACTGTTGAAAACAACACATGTTTTACCAAGGGCATTGAGAGCCATCCCAGGCCCCAGGGTCAGTAATGTCAATGCCCCCCCCTTTCATTCTATTTATTAACTTTTGCAGATTTTTCATAAAGAAATTTAGGTGACCAATTTCTTCAGGAATCCATGAAAAAGCAGTAGCCATTTTAGCTCATTAAGTAGTTTACATTTCTAGTGAGCTTTGGAATATCCCACTGCTGGGTCCCTCAACGGACCCCGGGGCAGCTGCCCCCTTGCTCTCTCCCTCTTGTCAGCCTTACGTATTACTACCATATATTCTAAGCAATGTATTAACCATGGAAGGGTCTTTTCTATTATCATAATTGGGATAAATGTATGGGTGGGGATGATGTCTAACATGCATAAATATACAGGTGGAGATGATAAAGGGTTGAACCCATTATTCATTATCATTAAGTTATCATTGTCAGTTAACTTAAAAGTGGGAAAATCTGCAACATCAGTGATGATAAGATACAAGCCAAGGTGATCCCCCAGAAACTTGTCTAATGGCTATTTGTATAGTTATGTTACTAAGATATTTCATAAATTTGACTAGCAAGTTTCTGACAAATGACAGCAAAAAAAGAAACCATCATGTGAAAACACTGTTGCTTGTGTTATACCTTTGTGGACAAACCTTTAACAACACATCTCTGTCAAGTGATTAGAAAGATCTGGTTTGAGTATCCACATCATACATAAACCTGTTAAAGAATGGAAGGATATACTTATTCATTCAGCTTTTAATTAGAAAAAAACCATGCAAGCCCAAAAAAGTGCTTTGTTAAGACTCATGGATTAGAGAAATCCTGCAACTTAAGAATACTCTCTATGAAATGACATGTTTACAGTGTTCAGCTGCATACATAGGCAAATCTAGTCAATCAGTACATGAATGTTTCAAAGAAAATATTCATGCCATTGCTAATCTTTATAACAAAGAAGCCAACACTGAACATTACATCAGTTGATGAGACACCATATCCTATCAACATTTTGGAAAACTGTGGTATCTTTATTGACAGAAAATTTAAAGACTCTCTTCTGATTCAATCTAAATCCCCTTTTATTAACAGATTCTACACCTAGCCCATGTAAAACTATTATTATTCCATGTAAGATTTATTTTTATTTAATTATTTACATTTATTAATACATCCAGTGATTGTAATTTATTTAATAATAGTATGTTTAACATTTTACCTTGTACCATTCTTCTATCATTTAAAATCAGTATTGTAACCTGTGATGCTCAAATACCCTTGAAAAAGGCATAAGCCCACACATCAGGTAAAATATAAAGAACATTTACTTGATGTTGTTTGTCATCTTTCTGGGATATGGTTTCCATCTTTCAGTCATCTATGAAAATTTTAAAACTAATAAAGATACGTATTTGATAAAAAAAATAGTAAAGTTTTCCTTTGTTACTTATTAGTATTTTTGCATATTTTTTGTTTTTTGTCTTTGTTTGAAGCAAAATACATGGTAATGTGCTGTATCAATATAATTCAGTTCTGTGTGTCAATTTTTCCTCAGCTGTAGTTGGTAAATGGCTTAGATAGGTCATACAACATTAAATAATGTAGATAAATCTTGATTTATTTTCTTAAGCCTCCAAAACGTTAGTGAGAGAGAGAGAAATTAATCAAACCTAATTCTGTAATACGATTTAATACTTCTCATTTGCTTTTTTATAATTTGTGACAATTGGCTAAAATTAACTTTGTTATAGCACTGCATTAGGTCCTGTACACACAAACTTACAGCAGAAGCATTTCACTTGACCTAATGTGTTTACTCAAAATTTATGATTAATTCTTAGTTGCATTCTGTGCAGTTGCCTACAACTACACTGTTAGCTTTACACCACTTATTTTATATACACACAGTTTATGCAACTGCAGTGTGTACTGAAGAGCTACTAGAATGTACCAAATGTTACCATTTTATAATAGTTGTCATGACACAATTTCTTGGAGGGCTGTCTTTGAATTCCCCCTAAAGAGCTTTATGGACCCGTCCTTTTCAAAATTCCTTGATCTTCTCCTAAAAGCTCTTTCATCTTTAACTATGGTTATTGATAAAATACAGAATACACATAATATGAGCCAAAAATCTGTCCATAGTAGCAAATGTAGTGTAATATTAATGCATAGTATAATATGGTAAAAATAATTAACAATTATGATTGCATAGCCCTTCCTATGACCAATTCCTGGAGTCCTACCTCTCTCATGCATCCATTGTACCTATCATTGGAGTGACAATATAACAGCTCTGAAACAGTTTCAATTACAATAATGTTCTCTTTACCATTTGCTACATAACCCGGTGTTTACTGCATCACATTTTAAAGCTGTAAACAAACAAAATTTGTTAAAATCTTACCTAGTTAAAAAATAATAATAATGAATAAAATATGTGCCTAAGTTATCTTTATTCTACTCGAAAGAAAAATGTTGCTTCTCTGTTTTCTTCTTCATGGTGAGCAGGTCTTCAAATCTCATTCCTTGTGGCTGCCTAATGATAGGTTAGGTTAAGAAGATGTCACAGAGAGAGAGGACACTGTACCATGTGGTTTGTTTTTATCAGATGATTCTCTAAGTAAAGTTTAAAGGAGATGTGTATAATAACAAACTGTACATATCAAACTGAAAGGTTCAGGTAACCCTAATCATACTAACAATGCATCAGTTACTTATACAAAATGTAAACTCAAAAAATAGATTTAGAACAGTGTTTCTCAAAGACCATGCTACAACACACTAGTGTGTCATAAGTGAGATGGTAGTATGCTGCAAAAAGTTCATTTTTCTACAGCCATTTTAAAAAACAATTACAATAAAACACAGTAGAAGAAAATTTTTTGTGATGTCACCAAATGGTAATGCAACCATAAGCCATTTTATTTACCACTGTCTGCTTTTCAGGTGTTTGTTCGTGCCACAAGTAGTGATATGCCACTTTTTTTTGCCCCTAAGTGGCTCAAGGGTAAAGTTTCAGGATTACAATGCTAAAATTTGGGTTTTGATACCAATGATGGGCAAAGTACAAATATCCCATTCTGTAGCTTTGTGCTTAATAACCAAACCAAAACCCTCTTTTTTCCTTTTTTGCTATTGTTGTTGTAGTATCTCCAGGTTTGCCTTGGGAGAAAAAGTTTGAAAAATATTGGTTTAGTAGTTTTATAATTTTAGCTAACGGGTTCAAATCTGAGGCCAGGAGATAAATATATTCCGAAAAAATAAATTACCACAACTTCATTAGAATATTTGAATTTATAAAATAACATAATTTGAAGTATTAATTTGTATCAGGAATACTTATGTCAATTTTGTTTTGTATTTCGAACATTACCAAACACCTTACTCTTTTGTTTTTGTAAGTTTACAATTTCACCTGTCTGTATGTGCATATAGTAATAATTTACCCCCATTGCTGTACCCCAGTGACTCAGCTGTAAACCTGAAGACTTCTAACACTAAAAACTGTTTCAATACTCATGGTTGGCACAGCTGAGATAGCCAATTGTGTAACTTTGTGTTTAACAACTAACAAAATTATTAATGCCATAACTATGTTTGTGTTTTTCACATCTTGAAGTATGAACACCCTTTCATACATCCAGTTTCAACAAACAGTTATAGATCTCATTTTTTCCTATAATATACATGTTTTGATCATGAGTCAAGACTTGTTAAGTCTTTGGTACTTTATTTTTTTCTTTCTAGGAGACCAATCTATTAACAGGTTCGTGGGTAGCAGAAAATGCTCTTCAACTCTGGGATCTAGGGTCAGGAAAACTGATCAGCAATGTACCGTACAGAAGTGACAGGACTAAAGGAGAATATCTTTACTGTGCTAAGTTTACTGAAGGATCCCTTGCTATTGCAGGAGGAAGTGGTTCGTGCAGTGGACAAATCATATCTCTAAAGAACATGGAGGTAAGTGGCTGATCCTTTAATATATTTCTAATGGTAAACTTGCTCAAAAACTGCTAGGATGAAAGTATGTGTATGTATTATTTTTAATTATTGTGTTTTCATCATTTTTTTATATTCAAACTTTCTTTAGATTTATAGTTGTTTACCTCTAGCCTGTAGGAGTTTGTTAATTAAGGATCTCAATTTCACACCGATCTTCTTCAAACACTGTAATGTACTCTTTAACCATTTGTATTAATATGTATGTTATCTTAAAAGCAAGCTTCTAATATCAATTCAAACAGTGGGAATAAAACAAAACATGACAGTATAATATTTAGAGCATTACTGCTGTGTTATACCATACTTACAATAATACCCTATAAAATACTTTCATATGTTATGTGATATTCATGTAGTTGTTTCATAAAAATATTTGGTTTTAAACAATATTATGAACACTACTCATCGTAATCTAATTGTATATCACTAGATGGCAGCATCCGTAAACTCACTTATTTGCTTTACCATGTAACAATTTCTAAACGGATGTTATGAAAAAAAATCTCTAGGTTATTATTTAAAGTGTAAGATATATTTATGGATACTTCTGTATAGAAAGAACATTGTGCATAGGAGCCCAGTAGGCCCATTTATAATGGGTGTAGTAGTTGTAATTACCGAGATAGTGTTCTTTGTTCACTTTTGTTGTAAGTAGATATATTTGTTGTATCATTTGTTTAGTTAAATGACTTGTTTTTGTGTAAATAAATGGAGCAGTAAAAAAAAATAGTTGCATGTTTATTAATCTTCGTTACTACAATAATTTAATAACAATTATAACTGGTACTTAAATTATTTAATAAAACCTATTAAAAGCCACCTGTTTTTATTAATCAGAAGTTATGAACGAAGTGAAAATTAGTTACTTATAATTATTAACATCATGATAGTTAGAGATTTTTAAACTTTTCAGTTGAATAGGTCTAAAATGTTCTGCTGGATGCCTTTGGAACTGTCATTATTAATTTCACATGTTTTGAGAAATAAAGTTATTGATATATGAAAAGTAAAACAAATTTAATTACAACAAGGTCACTTACAAAAAATTCCTAATTCCAATGTAAGTAAGGTAAATATTATTATTATTTCTTATTGTTAGTTTCATTTACAGAATTAGTTTGAACATTTGATATACATATAACTTAAGGACAACAAGGAACCTGTTAATCCATCTAGGCCATTCCTTCCACTAAATTACACTTTCAAATGAAAATAACACTCAAAACCAGCTAGCCCTTATCATTCAAGTATTTCTCAAGCCTTCCCTTAAATTAACTCCATCCGCCCATTCCAAAGGCTATCCATCCTCTTAGAAAAATCAACCTGTTTTAGCTGAAGATGAACCCTACCCAGCCAAAATATATATATTTTTGTTCCCTAGTTCTACCATTCTCACCTTTAAGTATGGAAAAATATGATGCACCAACATTATCAATTCCCATAACGACCTTAAATATCTCAAAGAGATTCCGTCTAACTCTTATTTTGTTTTTTATATGTTTTAGCTTTTTTTTAAGATCAAGCTGCTTACGCATGTCTGTATCTCTAAATTATTATTGAGGTGTACACTCACAATTGTAGGTTGTAGAATAGTAGGAAACTTAGATTTCTTTAAATCTTTAGGTTCTGGGTGAGGTGAAACTATCTAAGGCAGTGCATGCTTTAGATGTGAAGCACAAAAAAGTTATTATGGGAAGTATGGAACCCCGTTTGAAATTACTCACTTTACAGCAACTACCTGAAGACTGACACTCTTTCCCAATTTCATGTTTTGATATTATATTCAATTTATATGATGCTGCTGCTATTTCAGTAAAATAAATATTTATTTTACGAGATCAATTTAATAGTAATGAAAATCATTTGCACGCAGTGAGAATTTGAACAGTAAAAGTATTTTAACAATGTCTAACCTTCTTGTGTTTTGTTTTCATAAATCAGAAGTTTTTATTGTAGGTTGCAGAATACGAATAAAATTGTAATCTGACAAAGATCTTACAATATTTTAATTTAGTAGTAATTAATAATTCTGTATAAAATATTCGTCGATTTTTTTATTTTTGTTTACCACCTGCCCTTTTGTATTGCTAAAGTTTTTAAAGGGATTTGCACATTATTAGTTGTCTTATAC